ATCTATGATTTTTAGAATTACTTTACCTAATAGTATTGACCTATTGAATTTAATGGCCAAATTTTAAACTCTCTGTTATGATAAATAAGAGAGCATTGTATTTAAAGTATTTAGTTTCTTGAGATCTGCAAAAAATATACAAAATTCCTCTTGTACTATGAATTGGTTCATTCTAAAACTGGTGAGTTTCTGTAGTGCTGTAAGTCAATGTCATCTCTGAACATTTTAATTATTCTCAAAATTAGAGAAAGGCAACCGCAAAAGTTATATTTTCTTAGACATTTCCAAATCATATACTTTGTTGAGTGTCTATTAAGGAAAGGTATTTAAAAAATACTAGTTTTCTCTATGAAAAGTTTATTACTATTATTACTTACTGAAAATAAGTTATATTAGTTACTAGTGGTAGAACTGAAATTAAAAATACAAACATGAGGGGGGAGGACCAAATAAGTATACACATGTAAGTAAATGTAAAAATGAAAAAATAAAATTAATAAAAATAAGAAAAACCCAAATGACATCTATAGGAACCAGGAATGGGGGGAGGAGGGATAATAAAGGAGAATGGTGGAGGGAGTGAATTCAATTATGACTTATTTTGATACATTGCAAGAACTATTGTAAATGCCACAGTGTACCCCCACCCAGCACAATAAAAAAAGAAAGTTTTATAAACTGAAAAAAAAAAACCTATGATATCTTTTGAGACACAGGAATGGTAAAGCAATTTACTTGTATTTAAAGGTGAGAAAATAGAGGCAACAAAGAAAAGACTGCTTGTGGAAGTCAAGGCCAACAAATGATGTAGCAGGGTTTCAATCTATGCCTTTGGTTATTTTATTTTCTAATATTTTGACCCATGAGTTAATTAGAAATATACTGCTTAATTTTCAAGTATTTGAGGAATTTTCTAGTTATTTTACTATAGATTCAAGTTTCAATCTATTGCCATTCCCTTCAGTGTGAAATATATTTTTAAAAATCATTCTAAAACTATAGTTTTGCTTGAGATTAAGTTTTCAACTTTTATTATTATGAAAATTTTAAATTTCCCTCTAATTTTTAAAAATATTTTGCTGAAATGACCCATTCTGATTTTACATTTTTCTTTTAGCATTTTAAAGTTGTTCCATTGCATTTTCATAGCCATAGTTTCTGATTAAAAGTCATTTGTAACTTGTATAATTGTGTCTTAATATGTAATGTGTTGTGTGTCTTTGACTGCCTTTAATATTTTCTCCTCAGTTTGGATTTTAAGCAGTAAGATTATGATGTTCCTAGGTATAGGTCTCTTCGCATTTACCGTAGTTGAAGTTCACTAGGTTTTCTTCCTTTTCAAAAAACATAATTTATTTTTTATGTCTCATTCTCTTTTCTCTCCATTTAAGACTTCAATTACATATAGGGTAAGTTGCTTATTACTAAGCCCAGAAGACAGGTCACTGACACTTTAGTTAGCTTTTTAAATCTTTCCTTCCTCTATAACTTTTCAAGCTACAACTTCTTTGACCACCTGCCTATAAATGATAGGACTGTTGGCAGCCTGGTATTCAAATCTGTACCTCCTTAGTTCAGCAAGACTTCAGTTTGACTTGTTCTCAGTAAGTAGGATACGAAAATAAACCCAGCAAAAAAGCTGATAAAATTGTGGAGCTCACCATGTGTATTTCTCTTTTTTTGAAGGACCAACGTGCTCTGAATATTGTTCAATGCCTGAAAACTGTTTGCTTCATCTGTTCATCCAGTTTCATAGCTTACAGCAGTAAGGCAGTTTCAGTACCAATAAGTCTGTCATGGCTAGCATAAAAAAAATCCATGGATTCCTTTTTAATTTTCACAAAATATTGTGAAATAATATTCATGAAGTAGGTATTGTTATTATAACCTAAACTTACAGGAAATTAACTTCAGGTTAACTTGTGAGTGGGAGAGTCAGAATTTGAACCTAGGCAATCCAGTTCTACACTCTGTGCTTGACTCAACACATAGTACTGCCTCTGCTTGGTAAAATCATGTTTATTTTCCTCACAACATTTATCACAATCTCTATTCATCTCATATATTTGCCAATATATACATACTGGTGAGGATTCAATAAATATTCATTGAATAAATAAATATCATAAATATCATTTGCAGTCACTGTAAAACAATGCTAAAAATAGGATCTTTTCCACATTTTTTCAACTTTAGACTTCATACTGTCTGCTACCTTGTGGCAAAAAAAGTCTGCAACAAATGAAAACTAAAAGTGATATACATCTCTGGTTATCTTTACAATTGTGTACATCAAAATATAATTGTATAATAGGAAAAGAGTTACAGCAGGATTTCTGTTCCTGATAAGATCACTATAATTAGGAATCAGTCTTAGGAATATTCAAAACACCTACTGACAAACAGTGGCACTAGTTGGATGCAGTGAGCAGAACTGATGTACTTGACTAGTGAATCTATATGTCAGTTTTGTGTCAAGTAAAAAAATGATACCCATACTTGTCATTTGGATTCTTTATAAGAAAAGAGAAAGACAACTTTTATAATAATCTAGAGCCTTTGTATCACTTATTATTATTTAACTGGCAAGATATGCTGATTGATTTCAAAATATGTCTTTGTTGATCCTTAAACCATAAAGTTATGGTTCTTGAAGTCTTGTACATGACAAAACAATATGCATTTATTCTTATCAGAAGCAAAATGACATGATAGTTTTTCAGCTAATTTTTGTGTTAACAAGATGCCTAAAGATATGCAGTAGACCTTACATTTACATAAAATTAAAGAAAGGGTGCTTTGGCAAATGCAAATAAATGCAAAAAGGAATATTATAATTCTGATTCATGATTAGTATCAACTAACACAATGTGGTAATAATACAAAAGCAGAATTCTGCCTTCAGTGTATGACTAATGTTTGTAAGCTATTTATAGACTACCCTGATTAACTAATTAATTTCATGAAATTGATTATATTTCAGAGTCTGTTTTTAAAGCTAGGATCTTTGAAAATGTTTTAATGTGAAAATCATATGCACGGACTTCTGTAGTTCTCCACTATGACAAGCTCAGCAGAATGATTTATTTCTCTTGGTGCCTTATTAATTGTATGAATTGACTATTTAACCTCTATTGATTTGCATTTCTTACTTAATGTTCAACTTAGAAACAGAAGCAAAAATTATTTTACAGTAGAAAAAGGTATACAAAAATGAATCCTAACATAATGGAGAAGATTATATTACCATTCATCATTATGCTTTTCTCCCCTCAGTATTTTCAAGAACTTGAGAAAGAACTCTTGGTTTCAAATCAGAAAATTTCTAATTCTAAACAGTGAGCTTACTGAAACAGACCCTTGCATCTTCAGAAATCATAGCATCTTATTTATTGTTCTTATATTTGAATTACAGTAGGATTCTTGATTTTTAATTCCCATTAGTTATTTTTAATAAGCTAACCTGAATTTTGATATGACCATATCATTTGAAACACTTTTTATTATTAAATATGATCCAAACCCCATCAACACATTCTAGTATAGGGATGTATTTTCATTAAAATGTAGACCATTTTAGCCCTATTGATGTGTGATGAAAGCTATGGAGGAGGTGACATGTAAGTACTTTCAGTGCATCTCAATTTACTATGGTTTACCTGTGCTAGTCTCAATTTTGACTGGCTTTCCCATCGTGCTCCCAAGGTACCAAAGTAGGCCAAACATTGCAATATTTTTGACATACTGAAATACATGATATTCTTCCAATATTGCCTGTTTCAAATGGAAATAGAACAAAATTCTTTGACAGGCCATGTATCCTGATAATGGACTGGAGATATGGTTATGTAAAATGTTTCTATATATCTTATAGAAGGCAGAATTTTCTTTTGGTGTCAAAGAGAATCTGCCTTTATATTCTGCTGTTTACTTATGCAGGAGAATTTCTTTCAAGCAGGTTATCTTGTGAATTTCAAAGTGTTTTTGTTTGCATGTTCTTGATGTTAAGTCAAGCCCACTCTAAGGGATGGGTAGAACTTTTACATCCTAGTCCATATGGGTTTGTAAATGACTTTTACCATGTTGACACTGGGTTTTAGTATAACTGACAATTATGTTTCCCAGTGGCTATTAACAAAGCAGGTATTAGGTTTTCATATTCATATTAGTTTTTCCATTTGTATTCAAAGGAAGCTTAAGGATGTGAGACTAGAAAATGGGCAAGACTATAGGTAAATTGCACTAAGGCAGGCAGAGAGGAATAGAGGCATCATAATTTGAAGGAATGGGATAGGTGATACAACATAATCAACTTATTTTTGCTGCAAAATAAAATTGATTATTGTCCATGAGAGCAAGACCTTAGAAAATAAGACACAGGGGAGATATATTTTTATAGAAGAAAAAGATAGACTAGATAACCCTGGGAATTCTAGGAAGTCACATGGTAACAATGATGCAGAACTCTCAAAGACATAAATATGAAAAGAAATCTTTTCAGACAGATGAAAAGTATTTGAGACCCTTGGAAGGCTGTCCAAAGGATGCTAGCATCCTCTGAATCAGCTATGCTATCATCAAATAAGCCACAAACTTTCAAATATTGGCTCATGCTTCTCAGTCAGAATTTCCTCTACCACACCCTATCTCTTTGGCAATTCTGAAACTCTTCTTACCCTTCAGTAGAACCTCCCTTACACACTTTGTTCTTTCCCTCCTTTTTTCCTGAAGCAATTTGTACTGTTGTTGCCTGTCTTTACTTTGCCCTGTACTATGAAAAGCTGCTATGTGTCTGTTTCTTCCGTTAGGTTTTGAGAGCCCCTTTGCTGTCTCCATAATTTGTCTAGCTTTACAAAAACCAAGTAGAGCATAAAGGGTTTTTGTTGTTGTTGTTATTTCATCTTTAATTTGAAATGAAATGTAAGGTGATCAGACAAACTTGGATAAAGTACCCTCTGCTTGAGTGAGTAGTACTTACTTGTGGGTATCAGCATTTTATTTTACCTGTGTGCATGATTCAGGGCAAGGTCAGGCTTCCTCATTCGTAGGTAGCAGGTGACAAGCTTTGTCTCAATGAAACTCGCCACACTTGCTATATCTTCAGCAGGTGCTTCAAAGGGTTTTCCTAGAGCTGCTCCTTTGCTGCAAAGCTTAAAAAAATAATACTTTCAGTCTCCTTATAATATTGCCACACAATCTGTCTTTTAAATAAGAAAAACATACATAAGTACATACACTTTTTCAGAATAAGCAAAACACTAATATTTTGATTTTTAAGTTCCTGTTCACTGTTATGTGACTGTAGTATAAAATAAGTGACACATTTACTATAAAATGCTTCCTATAATATATTTTAAAGGTATGATAGATTTTAAAGGAGTGCCATTTGCTAGGAATGTCTGTTTTAAAAATAAAGCACATAATAAGCAAAGATATTAACAGAAAAGTAGCCATAAATCATATTAAATACCAGTGCTTTTATGAAAACCCAGCTGAACAATGATCTAGCACACTATCCAGTTTGATTTAATATAATAAGGGGTATCGGAAGTAAACTCCTAGGAGCCATTAACATGATCGGTGATTAATCTGAGTCTGAATCATATTCTCTAAGATGTTATTGAAAGAAAAGAAGTGAGAATTTATTAGGATTTATTGGCAAAGGCCACAGTATCTGAAAAACATGGCAAGAATGTGGAATTCTTAATAAAAATTCCAGGAACGCCATGGTTTCTGGGCAACATAGATAAACTGCAGAGGAAGAAAATAATTAATTCTGGGGAGACTCTTGAACATTAAAAAGTGTCAATAATGAGACAAGAGTGGATCAGCATTCTCCCCTTCCACCCTCAGAGTTTTCTGCTGTGCCTTGGAATTAAGGCTGAAAGGACTTCAGTTCATGGCTGTATTCAGGATAACCTGCTTTCTTGCTCATTTACCACCTCTTTGTACCTATGCTGGGAGATGCTCTCACCAGAAATAGTACTATTTGAACTTAATACTTATGCACATACTTTGATATAAAATTTCTTGTGTTCTACATCGTTTGTTTATATAGTTTAAAATAATTTTTCTTTTATAGATTAAGTTTTGAGACTTGGCTTCATAGTTACATGAAGCCACTTTTAAAATACAGTTTGGGTATTTGGTAGTGGCTATCTTTTACCAAAAATGTATTTTCCTTTTTAGTTTTATTCAAAAAATATAGGCAGAAACAGAATCTAGAATTCAGATGTTCAAAATCTCTAGTTAAAATTAGTAGTTGCCTGGCGCTATTATCTTTGAATAACCTGTCAATTCTGTAACTATTATTTATTATTTTCAAAACTTTCTCCAGTTTGATAGGTACAAGATATTACTTAATTCAGTAAATAAATATTTATTGAGCATCTACTTCTGTAAAGTAAAAGTTTTTGCCTTCATATTTTAATGAGTTAATTAGGTCTTTAAAATAAATAAATTTTTTAGTTGCATATAAATACCTGTTTGCTATTCCGTGCATGCTTCCTTTGGCATGTTAATATTTTTCTTATTAATTTTAATAGCTATTTAAATATATAAACTATTATCCTTTTTCTGGTAACAACTCTGTGTGCACAACTAAATGTAGGGGGTTTACCCCCAAATTATCTCTCAGAAAAGTGTCAACTTTTATTCATGATTTCATAATGGCTCTAGAAAACACATGATTTCTCTCTGAATTATTTGAAGAAAAGAAAATCAAAGACTGTTTGTAGAAGATCCCATGGGGATGACCCCAGTCAAGGTTAAGTTTGCATGCTTCATGAAGATTACTTGATGAGATTGGTAATAAGAAAGTGAAAACATTTAACACTGATTTGGAAACCATCCCCAAGGGGCTGACTTCAGAAATGTCAACATGGTAGTAAACAGAGCTTAAGATAGAATTTTAGAAGACATTACAGTTGTACATGTCAGTTGAGACAGCATCTTCTCTCTTCTACCAATATGATCCCACAGGACCCAGAATTTTGAAGTAGAAAATGTTTTTTGAAACAGAATTTTGCAAGTTGAAAGCAATGGAAAAATTGCATTTTACATAGTTTTAGTCACTATCTCTTAGTACTAAAATTGTAGACTTCGTCAACTTTACTATTAAATCAAATCAGTGTTTTCTCTCTCCCCTCCAAGCAAAATAAAATCTTAAACAAAAAGAACACATTGTATGTGTGTCTGTCCTCTCCTGTCCATGTCATTCTCTGATTCAATGGTGTGTACAAGCACTTTTGTGGAATGGATGTGTAGGCATCCAGAGAGGAGTCAGGGAGTATCTCCCAAGAGGACATTCAGATCCTTCATAGCAAGAGGACACTGACCTTCAGACTTCACAATATTAAAGACTTTGCAGCCATTGGCGGGCGCTTTGAATGTGACGAGAGCGTGGCGATGGCCGCCCCGCAGGCGCCCAAACGGCTCTTGGGACGCTGAGCGTCGGGCACTGCGGGGGGTCGCGGGGAGCTGCCTCCTGTGGACTCCGGACTTCGCGCTCCTGGGGCTCAGATCCATTTTATTTAAAGTACACAGAAATGAAAAGAAAGGTAGTGAATGCTGGCAAGCTAAGATTGAGTCCTAACGAGGAAGCCTGCATTTTGAAGGAAGATTATGAAAGAAGACGAAAACTAAGATTGCTATAGGTTCAAGAACAAGAAAGGGACATTGCTTTACAATATTAAAGACTTTGTCAATGAACACTGAGAAAGAGAGAAGAATAAATGTCTGATCTCCTAATACCTGCAATAGTTTCTACTCTTATGAAATTCAAGGCTGGAAAAAAAATAAAAATGATCAATCTTAACAGACAGATGAGAATACTTCAATGAACCAAACTTTAAGACAGCAGGGAAAGACAAGATAATTTTTCAATTCATATTATAATGGGAAAATAGCCTGCTTGGTAGGTTTTATATGTATTTGTCATAATCTTACATTAGCAATCAAGTATTGTAAGACTGAGAACTCTACTGATTTTATCGAAGATTGCTTTAGTTGCTATTTTCCCAAGTAGAACATCTTTGAAATAAGCTTTGCAATAAGACAAACTGCTATAAAGTGTGTGGAAGTTAAAAGCAGAATTGCAGGTCCATACAGAGATAACACTGGCATCGGGATCTTGAAAAACATTACAGATATTTAACTGAATTTAAAACTTTCCATGAAGTCATTTTTACAGAATGAGAAGTTAATTGTTCAGAAGATGAAGGACTTTAATGTGCTGTGCATTGGTTTGAATTTAGGGAGGACGACTGTGTTCAACTCATGTTTGCCTAAAATTATACTCTTGACACCTTTGTTGAAATAAGTCATGGAGCTAAGGGAATAGAAACTTTTATACCACCTAAAATTGAATATCAGCAAGTAGACTTTGAATTAGGAGAAAACAATATTAGGTGTTCATTTTATTCCAATGGGAGCCTTAACTATTTTTGAATAAAGTATAGACAAATTAAAGCCTAACATTTCAGGTATGATGCAGCTGAAACTATTGATACAGTTGTTGTTTTAATGAAAAGCTAGGTATTAAAATACGATTTCAAGTAGTACATTAGAATCATAAACTTAAATTTTACTAAGAAGGTACACATTTTACAAAAATATTTGATAATTCTCTGGAAAAAGTTAAGATAATTATACTTTGCAGTTATAAAACATTTTTCTTAGGTTCTTCACAGTTTTTCTAAGCAACAAATACCAAATCTATTTTTAGAAAGTGTGCACAAAGAAGTTTTAAGGTTTGCTCAAAAACAGATAAAAAATAACATAAAGCACAATAATAGCAGAAAATAAATTCCTAAAAATGTTAGGTCCTAGAAATATTACCACATATTCCACTTTAATGGTGGTCATTTTTAGCAAGATTTATTTTGCTAATAAGTTCTCTCTCATTAAAAGATTACATGACAAGTGGTTTTCCACGATGTTTCCAGGGCAGTGCTTTGAGCAATCTCTGAAGATTTAGGAGATAACAATACATTTTGAAAAACATGGTATTATTTGAGTCATCAAATATCTACAAATACAGACATATCTTATCATCAATCAGTAATTTTTGTTTTTATATTGTTTTTGAGGAATTATCCATACCCTACCCTATATATAATTGCTGCTAATATTTTTCCTTTGGTGGTATTGGGGTTAGAACTCAAGACTTCACACTTGCGAAGCAGGTGCTCTACAGCTTGAGCCACACCTCCAGTCCTGCCATTAATTTTTGACATATTTCTATGCATTTTATGTGTCTTATATCAAAATAAAGGATATACTATATATACATAATTTTACTTTTCTTGTATTCTTTGCTTTCTCTATTTTTAATTGAAAACTTAGAATATGTTAATTAAAACAAGACTTCATGTTATGCTCTCGTTAAGGATTTCAATATTCCCTCTTCAGCAAATGACAGAAATACTAAGTCAGCAAAGATACTAAAACATAAGTCAGGAAAGGTATGGATCTGAACAACTCATTCTACCAACACGATGTAACACACACAGTCACACACACTCTTGTATAAAACATTCCCCCAGAGACAGCAGATGAATGTTTTCCTCACGTGCCTATAGAAAAGTTGCTCTGGGCCATAGAACAAAGGACAGCAAGCTGAAAAAATTAAAGCCATTCTGAGCATAATGGAATGAAAACTCAAAAGTAAAAAAGTCCCCAAATAATCCAATTCGAAGGCGAGGAAAATACACAAATAAGTATTTCACCAAAAAGGCTACGCAGATGGCAAACAGCACATAAAAAGATGTTTGGCATCATTAATCATTACAGAAATGCAAATTAAAAATACAGTGAGATATCACTGAATGCCTATCAGAAGAGCTAAAATAAAAAAAGATAGTGGCTAAAATGAAGACAAAATAGTGACACCAGAAGCTGAGACCATCGAGAACATGGGTCCTTCGCATTGTCGGTAGGAATTTAACATGGTCCTCACCTTCTTAAGAAGCTGAGCCTGCCGCTCTTGTGCACTCCTAGACATATATCCCAGAGAAATGAATATTCATCCTCCCAAAACAAACATGCAAATGTGTATGGAAACTCAGTATAAAACAGCCTCAGATTGGATTCAGTTGGTGAATGATTAAACTGTGGTACGTTAATCCAATGGAATACCCATCAGCACTAA